CCCGCCATCGGCAGAGCGAGACCCAGCACCCCAGTCTCGGCCTCCTGTCCCTGCAACTATTCTTGCCAGCACCGCCCAGACCCTGAGGACTCACTGGGGAATTCAACTCCCCAGAATGTGCGAGCCAACACGGGGTCACCAGATTTGTATTCTGCAAGGGTAGGAAATGAAAAATCAACTGCCAGCACCTACTATTACCAGTGCTCACCAAAGGAATGGACACTGTAGCTCCAAACACTATTAAGGACAGAACCTCAGAGCACACGGGAAGCCTCCGGGTGTGACGTGCCTGCTGAAGTCCAGGTGGCCCCCAGCTCACCGGGAGCCGGCAGAACAGGAGCAGGGGACCACTCAGGACCCGCCTACAGGGCACTGAACAGAGACGTTCAATGACCTGGAACAGGATGATAAAGCCAGGTCCAACAAGCTATCCCAAACGCTCCCGCCCGAGCTGTTGTCCGGACGAAGCTGAGGGAGGGAGGGGCAAGGGGCCCCAAGGCCTGTGCGGGCAACACTCCCGTGAGGCGAGCTCCAAGGGGTCCTGGCACCAGAACAGGTCTGGAAGGCAGCCCCCAAAGGCAGCAGCTCGGGTGGAGAAGGCAGGCAGGCTCCTTGTGGGGCTGGGGGAGCTCAGGGCAGGAGAACAAAGGGGAAAACTAGCATCCTAAAAGAGAAACATAAAAATACCGAGGCCACAGCCCCTTCTGTCTCTGCAAGAAAAGCCGTCCATGTCAGCATGTGCTTTGCTGTGCGGCCAGAAGGGGGCACCCAAAGAAAGACCCCCAGCGAACTACCACATCCCCACCATCCTCGCCATCAACACAGCAAAGGCACTTTCAGGGAGAAAACCTGAACAGCTTCGAACCCCCACCTGATGAAAATCAGCCCTCAGAAGCGGCACAAAGCACGAGGAGGCGGCAACACAAGCCCCAGGCTGAACCCAACCCCAAACAAGAGCTCAGGGAGGTGGGGGACCCCCGCAAACACGAAGGAGAGAAAGTTCACTGAACTCAGGAAAGGAAGGAGACTGACTTAGGAGGAGCCCAGGGGAGGAGGGACTTAAAGGGAGAGAGAGGAGGGCGCAAGAAGTGAGGGGGGAGAGCGGGAGGGGGCGCAGTGGGGGCAGTGGCTGAGATGCAGAGCAGACACCAGCCAGGCACCCAGAAAGGGAGGTGCACCCGAACACAGAGACCAGGACACAAGCACCGCTCCCAGGGAAGACGGTTCTCTAGAACATCAGCCCCCACCCTCTTGGCCTGCTGGTTTTCAGAATAAAGCCGTTACTCCTTGCTCCGAAAGAAAAAAAAATTCCCCAGGGATTAAGACCAAAAAGGCCTTTAACACAAGCAAAGCCAATGGCAGCATGCATCCCCAGGGGAAAGTCACTTCCCAGTCAGGGGAGAGTCACTTTCCAATCAGCACGAGTCCCTAAGACAGACCGCTCTCCTGGGCAACGGTTGAGTGACCCTGCAAATTCCACAAAGGAAAGACCACGTTTGGTGTGTGACACCCCACTTACAATGTCTCCCTGATTTATTTTGCATATTTTCAGGCCACGACATTTAGAACAGAGCTGGTCCAGAAGCGAGAGCGTTCAGACCCCACCTGCCGGCTGCAGAAGGCAGACAAGGACGGACATTCTCCTGTCCTGCATTCCCACAGTCAGTCATGCCACAGATCCAGCCTCCGGCCGTCACTGGTCAGATATCACGTATCTGTGAAAACTGGCCCCAACAGTCAGCTCCCAGACATTCCTATGAAACCATCAGGCTTCAAAGACCAGAAAAAGACCCGGAAGTCCTCTAGGGAAAAGATCAACAACTCACAAGGCCAGGAGAACGCGACGGGCCACAGGAGTCCGGAACCCGCGTCCTGGCCCAGGCCGCTCGGGGACCTGGCAGGAGGAGAGCAGCCTCCAAGTATTTAACTGGGGGCTACGACTGATGCAGAGGCAGGTGGAGGATACTAAACACTGTGTCCTACACAGAGAGAAATAACGCCCTAAGGTTTAGGCAGGTTGGAGGAGAGGGGGTGTAAAGGACACTGTTAAAACCTGACAAACCAGATCAAAGTCCGGAAATGAGGACCAGGGCGCGAAGAGGAGAGGGACAGAGCTGCCACTGGCACAAAGGCTCGGGTCTTCCTAAACTGCAAAGAAAAAGTGTAAAAATAAACCAGCAAAGAAAAATCGGACAGAAAGAAGCACAGTGCATATGTCCTGTGTAATAATTACAACATTCAGTAACCGGGCAGGGCTGAGACCACACCTCCGCCCAACAGCCACCATGAAGGGGCTGGCCTGGCCTGTGAAAGACACAGATTTTCAACTTGGCCCCCAAAGCAAGACCAGACCGTAGGCAGGCTGAGTGTCTGGAGCGTGATGGACAGAGAGGACGGGGCTGGCGGAAACCTTCAGAAAAGAGGGCCTGCGCTCCTGATAGCAGCACAGAATTAAAGCCGAAAAGCATCAAACGTGACAAAGGACACTGTGTAATGCCGAGACCCACACCTCTCTGCGACAATGTCATGGTTACGAACATCCAAGCACAGCCACCTTTATGAAGAAAAGCTGCAGGAGGAGCAAGGGACAGTCGCCTGTCACGGGAGCTGACTGTGCCCTTGTCTGCGCAGAGCCTGAGGCGAGGAACAAGCAGGGACACAGAGGACGCGACGTGGCCCACAGCACGGACGGACACGCGCCGCCCGCCCCCGCTGCACATGCACGGGAACATCTGCACGCGGGCACCAGGTCACAAGGGAACAGCATCAAGTCCCAGAAGGGGGAATGTCAGAACCACCTCTGCTCACAGCGAGTTCAGCTGCAAACCACTAACAAAATCAACACAGAGGCCCTTCCGCCTGCAGATTAGTGGAGTAACTTGGCTCCCTGGCAGGCTCACCACTCACACCCTGCTTTCTCATGTCCCCACGGACGGGGACACCCTCAGGGGCAGCTGTCCTGCAAGCGTCCTCGCACCTGGCTCCCCTGATACGACGCCCTTATCTTTCCACCAACATCCGCCGGCGTCTGCGCCCTGGACCCGCTGCCTAGACTCCTTCCCCTGACAGCCCCAAGCCCTTCTGGCCCAGCCTCCAGAGAGTCTGGCCTAACAGCTTCGCCTGGGGTCAGGTCAGTGATTGTCCTGGGAGCTCCCAGGTGATTCTGTCCCGCAACCAGGGCAGACCCACGCAGCCACCTGCACAGCAGGGAGGTCACACCCTGACCATCTGCCCTGCATCTGAAGCTGCCTGTGGGCGGGGAACACGGGATGCCCCCTGGGCTGGCTTCCTCAGGGTCCCTTCACAACAGCACTTACTATGAGACACTGTACATCCCGGCTGGTCATCTGTCTTCCCAGATTGCACGCTGGGCCCCTCCACTCAAGGCCCGTGTCTCTCCCCAGAAGCAAAAGAACTGACAGATGCAGTGAGTGGCCAGAAGGACGGTGCCTGGGAGGGGACCCAGGATGTGCCCGAGGGAGGGGGCTTCAGTCCCCCCAGGGCAGGAGAGAACACGTGACCATGACCTTGACCATGCCAGGACCTCAACTCAGACGGAAACGACCCCAGGGAACCAGGGAGTCTCCTCAGGGTTTAATTACACGGGTCTCATCGGCGGAAACAGAGGTCCCCCTGTCGCGGCTACGACTCGGCCAGCTCTCCTGAAGGGCCTCCCGGGGCGGCTGCGTGGGCTGTATTTCCAGAGCCCAGACAGCACTTCCTGCCCGTTTTCTTTTGTCTGAACCCACAATCCCAGGAAGGACACAGAAACACTCTTGACGGGCGCCATTTCACGGAAGGGAACACCCAGCAGCAGACCGTCGGTCTGCTCCCACATCTGTCTGAGCGCCCAGACCTCGGCGGAGTGGAGCCTCGAAAATCACAGCCTCCCCGCCCTCGCATTTCCCCGCCTGCCTTCAAGGTCTTCCACGAAGACACGGTAAGTCCTACTGCCCGCGACCTCGGTCCCAGAAGCATGAAGTGACTTTACAGAGACGGGAAAAGTCCCCGTCTGAGCGGAAGGCCCTGGAGGAGATCCAGGAGAGCATTTCCCTCCGTGAGCTGCTGGGACAGAGGGTCACCGGTGCCAGCCCCCGGGGTTGGGGGGGGAGGAGACCCTTCCCAGGAAGCAGGCGGACCCTCCGTGGG